GAAGAAGAAGGAAGAAGAAGGAAGGAGAAGGAAGGAGAAGGAAGGAGAAGGAAGAAGAAGGAAGGAGAAGGAAGGAGAAGGAAGGAGAAGGGAAGGAAGGAAGCAGAAAGTACCTCTGATAAAATCTAGAGACCCTCACCCGGCAGGTGGGGGAAAAAAACATCCACAGTAATTTCCTTGATTCGTAATATTATCATACAAGCGCCACTGCATATTCACATATCCTTCCGGGTATCTGTTTGCCTTTTTGTCCTGTTCTTTGTAATTCAGTACTTCTTTCATGATAACTTGTCACACTTCCAATTTCCCAGCTCCTGATTTTCCAAAAGAATATACGAGAATTAATGATAAGGTCAGCATATATTTCATATTCTTGTGTGTTGGTCAGTGGTTGAATTGGTTTTAACTATCGTTTGTGTTCCTCGGTGCAATAGTAATTTTGAAGTCTGGGTGTTATTCAACAAATTGTCTTATTCTCCAGAAGGTGCTCAAGTTGGAAAAGTACACCTCAGACCTCATAAATAATAAGTACATATATATATATATATACATACATACATATATGTATGTAAATATATATATATATACTGTAGTCTTCTCCTTCTTCTTCTTCTTCTTCCTCTTCTTCTTCTTCTTCTTGAGGGGCGATATGGTCTAGTGGATAAGACGCATCCCCCATGCCTCAGACCCGGGTTCAATACCCGGGCGCAACACTAGACAGACAGGCGAACCACTACCCCACCGCTGCAGTCAAGGGGATGAGCAAGGGCGTGGCCCGTAAAAGCATCCCCCCTCTTCTTCCTCTTCCTCTTCCTCTTCCTCCTCCTCCTCTTCCTCCTCTTCCTCCTCTTCCTCCTCTTCCTCCTCTTCCTCCTCTTCCTCCTCCTCTTCCTCCTCTTCCTCCTCTTCCTCCTCCTCCTCTTCCTCCTCCTCCTCTTCCTCCTCCTCCTCTTCCTCCTCTTCCTCTTCCTCTTCCTCCTCTTCCTCTTCCTCCTCTTCCTCTTCCTCCTCTTCCTCTTCCTCCTCGTCCTCCTCTTCCTCCTCTTCCTCCTCTTCCTCTTCCTCTTCCTCTTCTTCCTCCTCTTCCTCCTCTTCCTCTTCCTCCTCTTCCTCTTCCTCTTCCTCCTCTTCCTCTTCCTCCTCGTCCTCATCTTCCTCCTCTTCCTCTTCCTCTTCCTCTTCCTCCTCCTCCTCCTCCTCCTCCTCCTCGTCCTCGTCTTCGTCTTCGTCTTCTTCTTCTTCTTCTTCTTCTTTTTCTTCTTCTTCTTCTTCTTCTTCTTTTTCTTCTTCTTCTTCTTCTTCTTCTCCTCTCTGCGCTACTCGTCAGAGCTGAGCGCTGCCCAGCAGAAAACCTTGCGGTCTGTTGTAGAGTCTTACGCAGGTGAGGGAGACAAAAGGTGGCCACTCGCACCAATGCCCGTTTTGCCATTTTCTTGTTCAGCATAGAAAGCGGAGCTTAAGAGTTGGGGAGAGGAACCCTAAAAGGGAATTGGAACCATTTATATGTATATATATATATACATATACATATATTTATAATAGTCTGAATGGTCAAATGATTCGAACTTAACATCACTAATACTTATACCCAAAACCTTATTTAATGTGCATGCGCCCCCTTCTTCAAATGCTTGCCACAGCTTATTAGTAAGACATACAAACGTAAGTTACAACTCTTATCAACTATTCTTTGATATGCATATGTGTGTATATGTATATGTATATCTATATCTATATCTATGCATATATATATATATATGCATATGCATATGCATATGTATATGTATATACATAGCTTTTGCCAGTGCCTGGCAATTGACCTCTTGTCATCGCTGGATTATTTTTCTTGACAATTTTGATAACGTGATAATCAGCATATTCCTTTTTTGTATCTGATTAAACTTCGACATGCTGTTCACAAATTGGTGTTTTCACTCATTCATTGTCTACAACTTTTTTTGGTTGGTTAACAAAATATACTTTTCGAATTTGCTGACCTCCTATCCTCCCATGTCAACAGTTCTTTTGCTTGTCTGGATTCTGAGTGTCGACTACAAAGGCATCGGTTTTGAGACTATGAATTGAAATATTGTGTTTGTATAGGTTATAACAAACAGTTCATAGTGCCATATTGTTGTCGCATTGTGCTAATGTAGTAGCAAATCTTCAATGTACCTGAATCATGTTTTTAGTGTGGTTTGTTATTAAGATTCATGGTACCGCAACGTAGAGTTGTTCTTTTATGTACGTCGTCATTTGCCTCCATATTAGTTACATAATATGTATATATATACATAATTATATATGTATATGTATATGATAGTTGCCACCGTATTGAGTTTGCTAATGAATTGGTTAGTAGAAATCATTATTTTTCTAACTGATTGCATCAACAATATGTTTATATTATACAGATATTATATATGTACGTATACATGACTTCTCGTCATTTTCACTGTTTGTCATGTTCTTCAGTTCTTTGACTAGTGCGTTTCTTGACAGATCTCGGTCGGGAACACTAGTAAAATCAGAACATAAAGACGACGTTTTTAAACTATGCAAATCCGGAATTTGATCTCTGACAAAAACAACGAAAATACTTGTTTAAAAAAAATAAATAAATAATGTGAACCTCAAAGTTGGCATTTAGCCGTAGCACTGTGTCCATTTTGTAAATGTTTAGACTTCAATGATCTGCTGAGATCACAATAGGGTAGCCATACCTACAAATGTCCCACACCTCATCACAGTCAAGTGTCCAAAGCCTTAAAGTTACATAAAATGACTTGATATTATAGGGCTACATGTTAATGCACAATTTGCAAAAAAATATAAAAATAAAAACTGTAAATACAAGTAAAAACACGAAATTGGGGTGGGGCCTAGCATACAAATATAATATAATATGATATAATATAACATAATGCAATATAATATGATATAACATAATATACTAAACTATATTATAATATGATATAATATAATATAATATAAGTTAATATATTATAATATAATGTAATATAATTTGATTTAATATAATATCATACAATATTAATATAATGTAATATAATATAATATAATACAATATAACATAATATAATATAATAGACTATAATATAATATAATATAATATAGTATAATATAATATAATATAATATAATATATAGGATATATTAAGTATAATGATAAATATAAATACTTATATATATATATCAAAGTTGACAAAATGAAATACAAAAAACATTTAAGATAAGATAATACAATATTAATACTATTTCAATAAAAATATGATATATTCAAAAAAATGATTTGATATAATATAATATATTAATATCATATCATATAAGATATATATATATATATTGGTATGATATAATATAATTTAAAATAAAAAATGATATAATAAAATATAATACAATAAAATAAAAATCCGCCCACACCGCTTTGGCGGTGAAGGCGTGCTTATTGGGGGGCAACAGCAACACTAAATGCTCAATGACATTTGTTAATATAGCAGTCGCTATATCAGCTTTAGCTGGGGGGGGGGGCCCAAAAACGGTTTCGCACCGAGACCAGACCCCAAAAACGGTTTCGCACCGAGACCAGAATACGGTGGTGTTTTCGACATTTTTCGAGGATTTTTGGGTGTCTGAGCGCAAGAGGGTATTGAAATGGAATTTTGGGTCATTTTGGTAGCTTTCCGGCAATGGAAAAACGGCCAAAAATGAAAAAAACATTTTACATAGCAAGATTTTGCAGGGTTTTTGGATGCCAGAGCATTGAAAACACTGCAAAAACAAGTGTTTTGGACTGACGTTATAGCAAAAAACGTGTAAATTACCGTATGTTTGACTGGAAACATTTCAAAAACACTGTCAAAAGCAATGTTTTGGAAGGATTTACTGCCTTTATGGCAAAAAAACGTGTAAATTACCGTCTGTTTGACTGGAAACATTGGAAAAACACTGTCAAAAACAATGTTTTGGAAGGATTTCTTATATATATGTTGGAGTTGGCTACCGGTATTGGCACATGGAAAAATTGAAGAAAACACTGTAAATAGCGGTATTTTCAACGGTTGGGGAGATAAGGGAATTGGAAGCATTGTCGAACATGATGTTTTCGACCGGTTTTATGGCGACAAAAGTGTAAAGTACCGTGCTTTGAAGGAAACCATTGCAAAAACATGGAAAAACATTCAAAGAACACGGGATTTGGGGGACTATCTAGGCGTCGTTGTCTAGCTATTTGAAATTCCGCAGCTTGGAGAGCCTCCAAGGGAGGGAAAAGTGAAAATTCCATAGCTTGGGAAGCTGTCACGGCGGGGAAAAGTGAAAATTCCTTAGCTTGGGAAGCCCCCACGGAGGGGAAAAGTGAAAATTCCCTAGCTTGGGGAGCCCCCACGGGGGGGAAAAGTGAAAATTCCCTAGCTTGGGGAGCCCCCACTGGGGGGAAAAGTGAAAATTCCCTAGCTTGGGGAGCCCCCACGGGGGGGAAAAGTGAAAATTCCCTAGCTTGGGGAGCCCCCACTGGGGGGAAAAGTGAAAATTCCCTAGCTTGGGGAGCCCCCACGAGGGGAAAGTGAAAATTCTTAGCTTGGGGAGCCCCCACGGGGGAAAACCACCCTTAGCCCCTCTCACGGACCGAAATAAACCTGCGGTGTGGGCGGCCACCCCACGCGAAGCGGGGTGAATAAAAAATAAAATACAATTTAATTCAATATAATATTACTAAAATATCGTATTCATAAAATATTGATACAATATTTTGAAAAAGCGAAAAAGCTAATATAATATTGTATTATAATTATTTAAAATAAGAGACAATTATTCAATAGTTTAAAAAACTAGCATGATATAATACAATGTAATTTAATACTATATTATTACACATATATTTTGAAACATAATATAAGACAATATAGTAAAAATTAGTATTATATTCATAAAATAAAATGATATAATTTAATATAACTCTAGTAATCAACAACAATAAAAATGTAATAGAATATAATTTAATACAATACAATACGATATAGTTTTATATAGCAATAAGTAATAACATTAACAACAATAATAATAATGATAATGATAATAATACGTATATATACATATCATAACATGTATCTATATACAACAGTACCACTGTCACTAATTCTATCCCGCTAATTCTTACAAGACCCACGGTTTTGATTCTCCGAGGCCTCCAAAGGATCGATGAGGCTGTGGTCTTTGGCAATGGGGTCCCAATTTGAGAACTCCAGGAAGATTCCGTCAGACCGCCTGGCAATGGCAGATCAATGCGGCGCGCCACATTGATCTTCCAGCGATCCAACACAGCAACAACCCCTCTAAATTCCAAATGGCTTTTTACGATAACGCGATAGTGATTCGTGAAATGGTGGTGTCAGATTTTGTTGCTTTTAGATCAGGCCTCTATTTTGGGACATGTGGGACTTGTCCCTGCCCACGATGCCTTGCAGGGCTGGGCCTTTTGATGGCGAGAGGGCCAGCACGATGCTGAGATCTTGTGCTGAGGGAACTGAACATCTGGGCCTCGTCCTGCCAGAAGATCAATTCGACAGTTGGGTGTTGGGGTATGTGGGGCACGCATTGATCAAACAAATATGTGTGTGTGTGTATTTATATATATATATGGCACAGCGTTCTAACCCCCTCCGGCCATGGTCATGTGTCAGCCATAGTACTGTCCCCCTTCCCCCCTGTGGTGTGGTGGGGGTGTGGTACTGTCCCCCTCCCCCTCTGGTGCGGTAGGGGTGTGGTACTGTCCCCCCTCCCCCCCTGTAGTGTATGTATGACAATATATATGACATGGTGGGTACAGTGAGTATGGTATGTAATTATCTCATGTACTATGGAACATAGCGACGCAGCACAAGCCTATATCACTACGCTAGCAGTGGCGCAATGCTTCTGAACGCATCGGTAAATTATTTCGTGTTCTTGAATAGATATTGTATGTATATGTATATATATATATATAGCAGCTGTAAACATACGGTGAACATAGCATATATATATCCGCCGACCCCGGCCGACGCAAGGGGGAGCGCGTAAGGGAAGAAGATGGAAGAAAAGGACTACAACAACAACAACAACAACGACAGCAACAACAACAACAACAAGAACAAGAACAAGAACAATAATAATATAATAATATAATAATAACAACAACAATAACGACAACAACAACGACGACAACAACAACAACAACGACAACAACAACAACAAGAAGAACAATAACAAGAACAACAACCACAACAACAACAACAACAATAACAACAACAACAACAACAACAACAACAACAACAACAACAACAACAACGACAACAATAACAACAACGACAACAACAATAACAACAATAACAACAACAAGAAGAAGAACAAACAAGAACAAGAACAACAACAACCACAAAGACAAACATAAACCCAAACAACAACAAACAATAATAACAAACAACACCAAACAACAACAAACAACAAGAAACAACAACGAACAACAATAACCATGACCCTTTGCCGGGGGACTCTCTTGGGTCCCCCTCCCACCGGTCACGTACCTCGATTCCTTGACTCCGGGGTTTTTGTTTCACCGGTGGGGGGTCCTTCCCGGAGTCTCCTCGAAGTACGTGGGGCTCCTTGGGTTGCCCTTCCCGCCCGCTTTTTTTTTTGGGGTTCATGTGTTACGTTTTGGGCACGAAATTAGGTGGTGTTTTGCTGTTTCGGAACCGTTTTGAAACAGCAGGCCCAGCTATAATATTGTTTAGGAGATTCTGGGGGATTCGGCCGAAACAGCTGGCCCAGCTAGGATTCCCGAACTAGGATCTAGATCTAGATCTAGGATTTTCTATAGGATATAGGATTCTCGAGGATTTCAACAACAGCAACAACAACAACAACAACAACAACAACAACAAGAACAAGAACAAGAACAATAATAATATAATAATATAATAATAACAACAACAATAACGACAACAACAACAACAACAACGACGACAACAACAACAACAACAACAACAACAACAACAACGACAACAACAATAACAACAACAAGAAGAACAATAACAAGAACAACAGCCACAACAACAACAACAACAACAACAACAACAACAACAACAATAACAACAACAACGACAACAATAACAACAACGACAACAACAATAACAACAACAACAACAACAACAACAACAACAAGAAGAAGAAGAACAAACAAGAACAAGAACAACAACAACCACAAAGACAAACATAAACCCAAACAACAACAAACAACAATAACAAACAACACCAAACAACAACAAACAACAAGAAACAACAACGAACAACAATAACCATGACCCTTTGCCGGGGGACTCTCTTGGGTCCCCCTCCCACCGGTCACGTACCTCGATTCCTTGACTCCGGGGTTTTTGTTTCACCGGTGGGGGGTCCTTCCCGGAGTCTCCTCGAAGTACGTGGGGCTCCTTGGGTTGCCCTTCCCGCTCTGATCTGTTCCTTCGAAACAGCAGGATTTCAGAAGACACGTCTTTTTGTGTGGGTTGCAGAAGTTACATTAGGTAGTTTTGGGGCGCAATTTTGATGCTTTTCCGCCTTTCACTGCCATGGTGCTGGCCCATCCGCCTTTTGAACAGAAGGGATCAAAGGAGCAGGAGCAGCAGCAGTAGCAGCAGCAGCAGCAGTAGCAGCAGCAGCAGCAGGAAACATTTTGATGCTTTTCCGTCCTTCACTGCCATGGTGTTTTCGTTTGGTGTTTTCCTGCCGGAAGGTGATTTTGTCGAAGGCAAGCCGCTGCAGGCAACAGAATCTCTCGAAAAAGGTTGTTTTTCTAGGATTGCAGACGGGACGTTTGGCAGTTTTTTCGCATGGTTTTGGAACTAGCTCGTCCTGCAGAGCCATGGTGTTTTCCTGCCGGAAGGTGATTTTGTCGAAGCTGTTTGATTGCAAGCAGCCGCAGGCAACCGAATCTCTCGAAGAAGCTGTTCTACTGCCAGCAGTCTCGAAAAACGTTGTTTTTCTAGGATTTCAGACGACACGTTAGGGAGTTTTTTAACGTGGTTTTGGCACTCGCTCGTCCTTCAGAGCTATGGTGTTTTCATGCCGGCAGCTACTTTTTTTCGAAGCTGTTCTACTGCCTGCCGGCAGCTGCTTTTTTTCGAAGCTGTTCTACTGCCAGCAGTCTTGAAAATGGTTGTTTTTCTAGGATTTCAGACGACACGTTAGGGAGTTTTTTCACATGGTTTTGGCACTCGCTCGTTCTTCAGAGCCATGGTGTTTTCCTGCCGGCAGCTGCTTTTTTTCGAAGTTGTTCTACTGTCAGCAGTACTGCCAGCAGCTGCAGGCAACAGAATCTCGTCAAAAAGGTTTCTTTTCTAGGATTTCAGCTTTTTTCGAAGCTGTTTTACTGCCAGTAGCTGCTTTTTTTCGAAGCTGTTCTACTGCCAGCAGTCTTGAAAAAGGTTGTTTTTCTAGGATTTCAGACGACACGTTAGGGAGTTTTTTCACGTGGTTTTGGCACTCGCTCGTTCTTCAGAGCCATGGTGTTTTCCTGCCGGCAGCTGCTTTTTTTCGAAGTTGTTCTACTGGCAGCAGTACTGCCAGCAGCTGCAAGCAACAGAATCTCGTCAAAAAGGTTTCTTTTCTAGGATTTCAGCTTTTTTCGAAGCTGTTTTACTGCCAGTTGCGGCTGGCAACAGAATCTCTCGATCTCTCGAAAAACGCTGTTTTTCTAGGATTCTAGGATACTTTTTTTCGACGCTGTTCTCCTGCCTGCCGGCAACTGCTTTTTTTCGATTTTTTCGAAGCTGTCCACTGCCAGCAGTCTCGAAAAAGGTTGTTTTTCTAGGAGATTTCAGACGACACGTTAGGGAGTTTTTTAACGTGATTTTGGCACTCGCTCGTCCTTCGGAGCCATGGTGGTTTCCTGCGGGCAGCTACTTTTTTTCGAAGCTGTTCTACTGCCTGCCGGTAGCTGCTTTTTTTCGAAGCTGTTCTACTGCCTCTCGAAAAAGGTTATTTTTCTAGGATTTCACGCGGGACGTTTCCTGCCGGCAGCCGCTTTTTTTCGATTTCGATGCTGTTCTACTGTCAGCATTAGCAGTCTCGAAAAAGGCTGTTTTTCTAGGAGATTTCAGACGACACGTTAGGTACTGCCTGCCGGCAACTGCTTTTTTTCGAAGCTGTTCTACTGCCAGCAGTCTCGAAAAATGTTGTTTTTCTAGGATTTCAGACGACACGTTAGGGAGTTTTTAAACGTGGTTTTGGCACTCGCTCGTCCTTCAGAGCCATGGTGTTTTCCTGCCGGCAGCTACTTTTTTTCGAAGCTGTTCTACTGCCTGCCGACAGCTGCTTTTTTTCGAAGCTGTTCTATTGTCAGCAGTCTTGAAAAAGGTTGTTTTCCTAGGATTTCAGACGACACGTTAGGGAGTTTTTTCACGTGGTTTTGGCACTCGCTCGTCCTTCGGAGCCATGGTGTTTTCCTGCCGGCAGCTACTTTTTTTCGAAGCTGTTCTACTGCCTGCCGGTAGCTGCTTTTTTTCGAAGCTGTTCTACTGCCAGCAGTCTCGAAAAAGGTTGTTTTTCTAGGAGATTTCAGACGACACGTTAGGGAGTTTTTTAACGTGGTTTTCGTACTCGCTCGTCCTTCAGAGCCATGGCGTTTTCCTGCCGGCAGCTGCAGGCAACAGAATCTCTCGAAAAAGGTTGTTTTTCTAGGATTGCAGACGGGACGTTTGGCAGTTTTTTCGCATGGTTTTGGAACTAGCTCGTCCTGCAGAGCCATGGTGTTTTCCTGCCGGAAGGTGATTTTGTCGAAGCTGTTTGATTGCAAGCAGCCGCAGGCAACCGAATCTCTCGAAGAAGCTGTTCTACTGCCAGCAGTCTCGAAAAACGTTTTTCTAGGATTTCAGACGACACGTTAGGGAGTTTTTAAACGTGGTTTTGGCACTCGCTCGTCCTTCAGAGCTATGGTGTTTTCATGCCGGCAGCTACTTTTTTCGAAGCTGTTCTCCTGCCTGCCGGCAGCTGCTTTTTTTCGAAGCTGTTCTACTGCCAGCAGTCTTGAAAAAGGTTGTTTTTCTAGGATTTCAGACGACACGTTAGGGAGTTTTTTCACATGGTTTTGGCACTCGCTCGTTCTTCAGAGCCATGGTGTTTTCCTGCCGGCAGCTGCTTTTTTTCGAAGTTGTTCTACTGTCAGCAGTACTGCCAGCAGCTGCAGGCAACAGAATCTCGTCAAAAAGGTTTCTTTTCTAGGATTTCAGCTTTTTTCGAAGCTGTTTTATTGCCAGTAGCTGCTTTTTTTCGAAGCTGTTCTACTGCCAGCAGTCTTGAAAAAGGTTGTTTTTCTAGGATTTCAGACGACACGTTAGGGAGTTTTTTCACGTGGTTTTGGCCCTCGCTCGTTCTTCAGAGCCATGGTGTTTTCCTGCCGGCAGCTGCTTTTTTTCGAAGTTGTTCTACTGTCAGCAGTACTGCCAGCAGCTGCAGGCAATAGAATCTCGTCAAAAAGGTTTCTTTTCTAGGATTTCAGCTTTTTTCGAAGC